CGTGCATACTGGATAAACATAAATATATTAAGGAGATTACGTTCGACGAGATGGAGTGATTGGCCAGCGATGAAGCGGCGATGATTGCTGAGTTCACCTGTTGAAGTATTAGGGCCATGAAACGAGCAATTATACTGTTAACAAAATGCTACATAAGTTTGATAAAACATTATTAAGTGAACGAAAACGAAGAAAAACTGATAAAAACTAAGCCTCAATAAAGTAGAGAAAATGGAAGGTAGAATCAAGGCGAGGAATGATCAATAAGACTAAAAAAAGGACCACATAATAAACAAGCAAAAAAACCGAGAAGAAAGAACTGGTGAAAGACAGGAACTGCAAACTAGACAAGAAAGTAAAAAATTGAATACAAATACCTGACGTAGAAGTTTGCCAACCCTTGTTGTACCGTTGCTAGAGCCCACGTTAGATCACATTTAGACCACCAGCGGTTGCAGAGGCCCGCCATCTTGCCGGACGAGGAAAAATACATGTCTCATCAGAATGATATTTTCGGTTGAGAGACGTGAGGGGTCAAATGGTCTGCGGCTGGTTGATAACAATTGCTCTTTCTATTGCCTCTTGATATCTCGTATCTTTCTCTCTCTTTCATCTCACACTCTCTCTCTGCTCTCTCTCTCTCTTTCTTCGATTTTAGTGCTCTACTCTCTCTTGCTACTTGTCATCTTCTCTACGACTCTCTCGTGCAGTCTCTCTCTCTCTCTCTCTCTCTCTCTGTCTCTCTTTCTCTCTCTCTCTCTCTCTCTCCTTCTCTCTCTGTCTACGCACAAACGGACACGCACACACGCTCACGCACGCGCACATGCACGCACGCACGCACACGCGCTCAGCTTGTTTATCGGCAGCGTGGTGTTAGTGTGGTGCAGGGCCGAGTGACATGCGTATGTGACATGTGTGTGTGTGTGTGTGTGTGTGTCATGACGCAGGTTGACGGCCTTCCCTCCGTTCCGACACCCGCCCCTCGCCACGTCGCTCCCGCCCCCCGCCAGCTCGTGTCACCTACGCAGTGACAAAAATTACCATCTGTGTCGTCACCATGATGACGATATTGCGTCTGTTCAAGGAGCGCCGGATGTCGTTCAAGGAGTTTCCGATTAAATATGGCGGCGAACACATCCGGTGAAAGTTGGAAGTGCACCGATTAATATTTTCGAGTTATTACAATTATTAACTGATCAAAATGGCGTGATACTAATTGGCTAACGTTAAATTAACGTTGATATCGAACATGGGACTGTTGCCAGAAACAAAATTATTCTGAACAATAACCTCAACATTAACTTTTTCCCGTAGGCAGGACCTCTATATATACTATCAAGAGCTAATAATATTAATAGTATTATTAGCTCTTGATACTATACGTATGTGTAACTCGCAACTTAACCATGTTTCTGTCAACGATCTATGAAATAAAGTTAATGTTAGGAGTAATTATGTTTCTGGGCCTCGGAGTTAGTCATAGTCCTCGAGCTTTTCCTTTGTAGAGTATCTGCTATCTGCGATCGATGTTGGAACGTTGGAGCCTATATAAGCTGTGCACGACCCCTCGCAATCGAACCCATACGTGCGCACATACGTAACCACACACGCATGCGCACTCGCGCCTCCTTTCGCTTTCTCCGCGTGACCCCGTTTCCCTTATTCGGGTAAATATAGAACGAGTGTTCTGCTCGTGTCCGATATATATCGGCGGTTCGCCTGAGCACACACGCGTGGCCGCCCATCGCCATAGAATCCGTGCATTGTCAAGCGTGCGTGTTGCAAAATCCCTGCGCTGCATATTGTTCCAGCCAGGTGTTTGATCCACATCGCGCAGTATGGGGAACAATATATCTATCTATCAATCTTTCTCTGCGATACGTGGATTAGTTATTGCGTAATTGTCCCTTCCTGCATCGCGTGACTTCATGTGTATCGTATGTGGTCTGCGAGCACTATAGCAGAGGAATTACTACATGGTGTCGCTCGTCTGCTCCTAATATGACGTCACGGCAGATACGGGTCGCAGTGTAGGTACTGTGCGCTAGCGCCAGCCATATCTTGCGGTTCTTTCTCTCTTCTCTCTCTCTCTCTCTCTCTCTTTCTCTCTCGCTCTCTCTCTCTCGCGCGCTCTCTCTCTCTCTCTCTCTCTCTCTCTCTCTCTTCACATTCTCTCTCTCTCCCTTCCGTTCTGTCTCCGCCTCTCCCCTTCTCGCCCTCCTCGTCTTTCTCCCCTCTCCCCTCGCTCTTCCCTTTCTTTGCACGTCTCCTCCCTCTCACTCCCCCTCTCTCCTTCTCTCTTCCCGCCTCCTACTCCATCTCCCCCTCTCCCCCTCTCTCCTTCTCTCTTCCCGCCTCCTACTCCATCTCCCCCTCTCTCCTTCTCTCCTTCTCTCTTCCCGCCTCCTACTCCATCTCCCCCTCTCTCCTTCTCTT